AGCTGGTCTTTCTTTCCACGCTTGCCGAGGGTCGATTTCATAAGGTCGGATCTCCGTCGCCCCTTTGACCAGACTCTCCGTTTAACCTTGCGTCTAAATATACATGCGTACAACGGTGACCACCCTGTACGTGGATATGTGCATATACATATGTGTTTCTCTGTGTGTGTGTATGTGTGTGTGCATGCATCAGGTTGCCGATGAATTGACATGTTCAAAGGGAACGCCGTGTACAGTGAACTTTCGCGCGCGATAATTCCGAAACGCAATGTTCTTGAACGAAACCGGGCCCGGGATTTCTGGAGCAAGCTCAGACCACCTTGACATGTACAAAATCTTATGTACAATTTATCGGTACGAGCGTCGTCTATTAAACAGTTGATATCTGTAGGTAGTACGATACTCCCTCGTTACATGTCCTTGATCGACTCGAACATCAACGTTGAGACTCGTTTGTCCCTATAAATTCATCTAAATTCTGACTTCCGGCTAATTTTACTTGGAATCAGAGTACTGTACTACCTCGCTACACGTTCCTGATGAGGTCCGTCGACGAGCATATCAAGATTGAGTCTCATTCGTCTCTCAATGTTCATGGACTCTAATTTTTCTCTGTTGATTACTTGGAATCAGAGTACTGTACTACCTCGCTACATGTTCCTGATAAGGTCCGTCGACGAGCATATCAAGATCGAGTCTCATTCGTCTCTCAATGTTCATGGACTAATTTTTCTCTGTTAATTACATGGAACGAAGGACTACAGTACTGCCTCGTTAATCGTTCAAACCTTCTCCTACCGTTCACCCTTCGCTCTTACAGAAAGTACTTCGGGTCGCAATTGTGCCCAGAAAATGAACAATACACGTCGCAGGTAATATCTCTGGGACTCGTTCGGAACCGGAACGATGAAACCGGCCCTCGAATCGGCGGCCGACGCACGCACGCACGTATCTCTATTCGCTAGTGAACGATCCCCCCGTGTGTTTTCAACAATCCATGTCTGAACGACGGTTCGGTAACAACGGTAACAATCGTAGTAACAGTGAATCACGATCGTATGATTCCTATTCGAATCGTAATATCGACGGTATGAGTTGCTCGATCGGTGAACGCGTTCGACTTAAATTCGCCCCTTAAATGCTATCGTCGTGACCGAAGGTAGCGCCGAACGATCAGGCGCGGTGCGCGTTCCTCTATGATTCACAGTGGCTCTCAACTTCCATGAAATTCTGCTACAAAATCAATTTGAATTATCATCCAATGAAAATACAATTTGCTAAGTATCTAATATTCCATAGGTGGACAAAGTGACTTCGAAGACAGTTGAGAACCACTGATAGAGCGACACAGCAACCCCACGTTCCATCCAATCACGGCTCGACCTTTATTTACAGAGAAACCTATTCGCAACGTGTTTCCAGGGACGGGGAAAGATTCCAGTTGACGTTAAAGCATACTGATGACAGATTGTTTTACATTCATAGTTTCCTTGGCTCTCGACACGTTCGCATTTGTTTCAGTGGCGATTCTCTCAATTATATATTGTACAAATATAAAGAAAGAATTAAAGAGAAAAGAACTAATTATATTAACCCCTTGGCCTATGATTTGTCTGAACTCTGATCGATACGGCTACTTTGTCATTAACAATTTATTGGAAAAAGAGATAAATTCTAAGCATACGTTATGTCTATATTTCCTTTTAAGTATAACAGTTGCAGAGGAATAATATTTACTTTGAATTCGCATGAACTAATATATATTTGTTGAATCATATTGAAAATCTTCACAAGTCTCACTCGTTGTAGGACAACGGGTTAATTGTTATCGATAATATCAAATGGAAATTGCTGGTGCAGTTCCATAATGCCTATACGCGAGCCGCCACTGTTCCAGTGTTCAAATAAACAAGGTTCCGCCGCACAATTTTCCAACATGTTCAGCCTCGTGAAACCATTAACGCAAGATACTAATCTCTCAACTTTATACCTCGAGAAAAATCTGTTGAACACGCGTCACGCGAGCAACGGGCGCTATCAGATCAATTGCATTTTCAAACGCTGACGGCCCCCGTCGTCGCGACGGAGCAACCTCCGCGGATCGATGCGCGAGATTTATCGTTCCTCTTCCACGGACACGCGAATCAAACGTCCTCGCTGGAAAGTTTTCCCCGCGCGCCGGGGAAACCCGAGAGAGAGAGAGAGCTCCTCTAATTAACGTCTCTCCACGTGAACGCTGAAACACGAGTTCGCGGTCTACGTGTGTACGACACAGAAGAGTAAAAGAGAAAGAAAGAGAAAAACAAAAAGGTAGTAGTAGAAGAAGGAGTAGAAGAAGATGAAGAAGAAGAAGGAACGCAGAGGTAAAAAAGATGAAAGCTCTAAAAATCTGGGTCAACGCGAGTGCCTAATGAACTCGGTGTGCGTAGCGAATTAATCGTGTCCTCCCTGTGCGGGTACGTGTAAGTACTTAGGGTATGTATACATGCGTGCGTAAGTAATTGCGTGTGGTGCGTGCGTGCGTGTGCGTGTCTGCCTCGCTGTGTACACGCGTCTGTGTAACCCACGATTAATAAATTCCTAATTAGCGTCGTTACAAAAACCTTACAACTATTCAACAAAAACCAATCTCGTAACAACTTTGTTCTTTTTTTCTGTTTTCTTTTTCGCTTCTTTATCTAAGTATCCCTCGTTCGCGCGAGCGAATGTGTGTGTATGTGACGTGTGTGCGTGTGTATCGTATACGTCAGGGGTCGACGAACTTGTCGTTACAAAAACTTGGATGCAATTGTTATCACGTACGTTAATAAATGTGGAATTTAGAATATTAGAATAAAGTTATAGCAACGGTAAAAGCTTGTTTGTAAAACATAAACCACTAAAAATCAATGTTATAGAAATCAATGGAAAAATTGATTAAAAAACCGTCATTATACAATTGTTATTACGTGCGTTAATAAACGTAAGATTTAAAATTCCAGAACAAAGGTGTAAATTGTTATAATAGGTAAAAGCTTCTCCTTTTGCAGCGCATGTATGAACTAAAAATAAATTTCTGGTGGTCGATAATGTTTGAAAAATTGTTGGGGACGATCAAGGAAGTTCCGCGACCCCTGATATACGTTGATCCTTCTGCTCGCCCGCGTCAAGCTTCCGCCTCGAAAAGAATAGTGAAACCAGAGAAACTCGTCACAGGTGAGACCCGTGTCTACCAGTGGAAACGCGAATGATTCTTGCCGTTCGGCCTACTCGCCGGCGGCGGATCAGCGGCAAGAATCATTTGAGCGGTTTCGCGGGCTCTCGAGAAAATAAATCTTGCCGCTGGCGCGGTGTACCTGCCACGGTATCCGCGGCACGAATTATTCAGCGTACGCAACGGTCCCTCGACTAACGAGCGAATCATTTGTTGAAACAAAAAGCGGGCGTCTCCTGGTATTTGCACACCCGGAGAATATAAAAATGGAACGATCCGTGTCGCC